CTATATATATATATATATATATATATATATATATATATATCAGTTTTTGATTACAGCCATGAAGAAAATAACTGCATATATCGTATGAATATCGCGTGAAAAGTAGTTGGAATGCTTTGATAGTGGTTGTTTGAATTGATGTTTGATATGTGGCGTACTCGAAAACAACTGAAAATGTATCAATGAAAGTTACAATAACACGGTCAAATTTGCATAAGAAATGAGTATTTGTGTGTTGGCATTTCTTTGAAATGTTCCATCTGTATTAGATAGCGCTTATTTTTTGTCCAAATTCGAAGTGGGAGGCAATGAGGCAAATTTTCGCATTATGAGTTGTTTACTTCACTTGCAGTTCTTGTTCTTTTTGTAATTAAAAGAGTTGATTGGTGCGAAAATGTTGAATTATTTTACAACAGAATAAACTGTTTCATTAATTGATATAACACGTACCATGTTTGATAAACTTTGTATTAGATTATAAGGTAAAAGGTAAGCCAGAAATATCATATATTACGATTAAATTTTAGGCAAATATGGGTCGGATGGATAGTGCAGAAAGTCGTTGGTTAGTAATAACAACAAATTTAGCTCTGATCCAAGTCCAGGCAATCGTTGTCGCATTTCTTGCATCTTCATTTGCAATTGTTCTTGCTTGGATACCCAAGGGACAAGTGTGTCTATTTATATTTGTAATTCGATTCACTTTTGTTTTATTTCAATTTTTTTTCAAAAAATTGTTAACCGAGAGAATTAATGCATCTGTTGTTTTATCTATCACGCTGTGATACTCATCGAAAATTAGTTTAGAATACACGTTTCAGATTAACTGTCAAAGTTGCTTGAAGTATAATTTTAAACGCAGAAACCCTTCTTCCGAATTCATGATCTGATTTAAATGAATCGCAGTGAATTTGTTATTAATGTCACTGTAATAATGTGTCAGGTTGATTGGGCACACGTGACGCTGTTGTGTGCAAGTAGTTTGACAACTGCATCGATAGCGTCGTTTCTGTTGAGTTTGATAATGATTGTGGTGGTATTAACGTCGCGGTATTTGCACATCAATCCAGATAATGTGGCTACTCCAATCGCCGCGTCTCTTGGTGATCTCACCACACTTGCCGTCTTGTCTCTTTTCGGTTCCTTTTTATTCTAATTCGCACATGAAAATATCACTTGAATCCCAGCCCATTCGGCTAATTCACTTCATGAACGGTTCCAAGTTTCGATTCTACTTTCGAAAATTCAGTTGTCTTTCAAGCAGTACTTCAGCTAAATATTTTCATTGAATGAACGTCTCTTACCATTAATTTGTTCGCCTCGCAATGATAAAATCAAAGGTCATCTTATTCATATATCAGATGCGTTCGGCATTCTTTGTCAGCCATCCAAATACTTATTCGTATTTCTATCAGTAATTGGCAACCGTTCGCTTTAGCTTCAAAACGAGCAAATGGATAACCTCATTGAATTAATGTGTTCATCATTAATTTAGGGTCAGCCTTCCTTCGCGCACATCTAACCGAGTCATGGTTGAATGTAACAGTGATAATCATATTCTTACTGGCTGCTCCGTTATGGTCGATAGCAGCACGTCGAGATGACGGTGCAAGGGATGTGCTTGAAAATGGATGGTCACCAATCATATTCTCAATGCTGATCAGTAGCACTGGTGGTTTCATTCTTGAAGGTGCTATTAAGAGATTCCCGCGAATGGCTGTCTTCCAGCCTGTGATTAATGGTTTGTATCATCTTTAACCACATTCTGGTTTACTGTTCCATAGAGCGTTCATCATTAATTACGTTCATTTGTTGTGTTGATCACTCTTATTCCTAGATTTATCAATCTAGGTGTTGGTGGTAATTTGGCTGCAGTTCATGCGAGTCGTTTAGCAACATTCTTTCATCGGAATTCACCACCTGGCATCCTACCTTATGAATGGTCTGTTCGGCGTTTTTTCAGTTTTCGACGCGCTTTTTTTTCTTCAGGTGAGCAGAATACGTCAAAACATCGTTCAGCTTTGGTTTCTCCCAACTCGATTACATTGTACAACGTTTAGGAATATGAAAACTGAATAAAATCTGCCAAATTTCATTGTATATGATGACACTTGTTTTCCTTAATAATGTTGGCTTAGAAACGTGATATATAGCATCGCGTTGTAATCAGTGTCATGATTGTATTTTCATGTGGTCTCATTCAAGAGATTGTTTATAATTATTCTTATATTGAATTTATGTCACGTGAAAGTGGTAAGAATTACAGTGGCAAAATGTTTCAGTTTCATACAGTTCACTATTATCTCCATCTTCCTTATCTCTTCGATCATACAAAATAGTATCAGTAATTTATATAACCGTTTCTCCTTACGTGAATCAGCCACTTGATAAATGAAAAATCAATCGCTTTATCGTTGTTTCCACTCATTGTTATAAGAAGTGAATTTTCGTCCAAGTTGAATGGTATAAATCACTTAACGTTCAATAGATTGGGACGCGCGATCGGCTCGTGTCTTGTTGGCACTGGTTGTGCCTGGACATATAATTTTTAATTGGATTATTCGAGCTTTACATTCTGGTCAAACACCTCCTTCTGGTGCACTCTTCACTAGTCTCTATCTGATCGCTGCCTTTTCACAGGTTAGTTTTGAATAAATGTAGTTGATTCATGAGGAATTCCCTGATCGAAATGATGTACTTGTGATTATGTACAGCTTGTGCAATGGGATCTATTGTTCTATTCACTTTTAAAATTTCATCGAATCGATCTGTCTCGAATCAATTTTTGTTTTATAAACGAATTCATTTTTAGGTGATGCTAATTTTATACTTTTGTCAGTGGTTGGTGGCGTTAATGTGGTGGTTGGAAGTAGATCCAGATAATGCCGCCATTCCATATTTGACAGCATTAGGCGATTTAAGCGGGACATTCCTTCTTTTCATCACTTTTCTTCTTCTTAACTGGTCAGAAAAGAGTGATGTTCATTGATATGGCACACAAATGGAAATCTCAAAACCACCTTACTCTATGCTGCTCAACAAGAGTATTCAGAAAGTATATTCGAAAGTGAATAATTTGTGAGCAATAAATGCTTTTATTTGACCACTGAATATTACATTTACTTCGATGTGACGTGCCTTATATTTTTGCTTTAACCTGAATTAGGTAATTGTTTTTCTTTTTAAGTTTCATCTGTTTGTTCCATTCTTGTTTTAGTTGTGACGATTGCAAACAAATATCATTGTTATCAATTTTTATCATTTCAGTCTTCTTGTTAAGCTCTTCCTCTGTTCATGGTTGTTATTCTTCGCGAGTTGATCGTGAAGAGGGCATTCTATTCGTTCAGAGAGAATCCACTGAAAACCATTCAATTCTTGATTACGGATCAAATGCAAAAATCAGAAATGATAATCCTATCTCCTGTTAATATTTTTCTTGTTTCAGTCAGTAATTGGCTGATCGATGCAGCTATTTTTTGTTGCCTCGTCATCTGTTTAATCTTTTACTTCTACAATTTTTTTTTGATTTATTGTCAACTGTATCTTTCTTATTCATTATTTTTTGAATTTTATTCTGAATTCTTTCCAAGGTTTTCAATTAAGACTATATTTCTGGATGCAATCAGTCCAAGTCCACTATTTTAGATGTAAGCCTATAGAGGCATCCGATGGAAGTTTTCCAAAATATTAATTAGTTGAGTTGAATCACTAAAGTAAAGCTACGTATATGCTAAAAGTGCACTGGACCAAATTATTATCAAATTACGCATTGCGTTAGATTACATCCTTTCCTATATCAGTTTCATTTCTTGCATGATCCTCTTCTAAATCCTCTTGAGTTGTTTTTTTTCACTTGCTCGGTTGCTTTTATTGTTCGAATCAACTGGATTCACCGTATTAAATATGCGTGTTGAATTAACGATATTATGAAGTGTATATCAAAAATACAATGGGCATTATGTCTCTGTGAAAGTGAAGTTTCTTTGGTTTTCTCTTGTTTAACCATAAAGTTGTCGTTGCATTCAGGTTGTGTAGAAATTGTCATTAATTGTTGATTGCTCGCTACATATTTTTTGGATATAACTCTTCTATGCTACTCTCCACAAAAACCAAATTGATTGTCTCGTCTCGATCAGTTTTATAGCTTTTAATGAGTAGTAGTGTACCGACAGTCAGTCACACGTTTCACGAGTATGTGTACACTAAATGATGTAATTTGTTATTTTTTTAATTTGATTCCATTTCCATATTCAATGTTTTATTAGTCTCATGTCGCGTCACCAGTGACGTTATGGTATTGTTCATCTTGACCCGTCTAAATTTATCTGTTTGATATGTGTAAGAAGTATTGCACTATTTTTCGAGATTTTTTATTTATTTGAGTTGGATGAATCACTTTTGAGGCAACCGGTGAGGCCATCATTCATTAAAAAATCATCATTTCAAACTCAGTTCATAACAAATCCGAACTAAAATGGTGCAATATTTTAATGAACTCATCAAGTATACAGCTGAGAATTTATATCTTGACATATATGACCGAGTGATTCTTCATGTTTTATTCGTTTCTTTTCCTTTTTCATCACTTCCTGTGATAACATTGCTCTGTGATATCATGTGAATTATGTTCACCTTATTGTATGTTCATATCGATGAGGTATGTTTGTTTATATGCAGGGGTTCATTATTCTTATTATTGTAATCAGTAGTGTCAGTTTGTGTTGAATTTGGCAAGTTTATCGAATGGCACATCAACATAAAATTATAATTGTTTATTGGTATTGTTGTTTCATTCTTCCCTTATGTGTTCTACTCTTCAATGGTTTTTTGTGCAAAATTTTCGAGAATAACTGCTTAGGCTTTACGGGTACTAAAAAAACTCTGAAATCTCACTATTTAAAAAAGTACCTGCAAAATTCAACCTCTACGCCTCTACATTTACTCTATGCAATGTGTTTTTATCGCTATGTTGTTATATCGGTTTTTGTTCTTTTTTTGGTAAGGAAGTTCGTTGAATGATAACCAGTTGAAGCTTTTTTCTTTCTGAACGAAGCGATCTTTCAGAAAGCGTTATGTTTCAAATAATTTCATCAATTATCGATCACTCTGAACGAGTTCCTTTGCACTGAGCGTTCTTTCAGTGTTTCAAAAGGCAGCAGCATAATGTGTTTCCAATTCTGTCAATAAAGGTTCATATTGTATGTGTCATTACTCATCTTTTTAGATTAGATGTCATGAACGTGATAAGTGTGTGTTAGATATTCGCTTGCCTCACTTGAAGAGTTATACAATATAAGTATGCCTGTAAGTGGTTACGTATCAACTGCGTCTGAAAGGGTAACCGGAATGGTTTACCGGCTAAAGATTCACATTTAGTAAAATCAGTTTTCTACGGTTGAAGCGCAGATATGCAAATACATAAGCAGTTTTGCGTTGTTTTCAATTACTGCCAATGAGATCTCTTTTAGAATATATGTTAATTACTGCTCAGAGCAGAAAACAAGATCGCTGCATTAGAGCGCAAAATTTTGACTGTTGCCAGATATGAAGGGGTGTTTGATGACGAATGAAGGTTCAATCTAAAGGCATTGTGCCCTGAAAGCAGCCATGTGCTTAAGGGGTTTCAGAACAGCTTGCGTAGAATTCAAGTGATGAAAAGAAATGATTATATTGATATCAATATTAACACAGTAGTAAGCACTAACCGTTTTTTCCGCATATATTCCATAGCTTTCCAATTGAATGTTGGTTTCAATTTTATAAATTTTCTCACTTTTAACACATCAATAGACCAGTGTGCTGTGGGGATCTGGGGATTTTCGGGACCCCATCCTCAACTTTTTTCGAGCACCACATTTTCAGGGTCCCCGACTGCAAAATTTCATCCCTGATTTCTTCCGTCCCCGACTTTTTTTTTCGTCTCTGCACCACGCTACTGTAAACGTTTGTGCTCAATTAATAATCCGAATTTCGTTGGTAACAAATCACTCGCATACTTCTGAATCTTGGATCATTTTCGTATTATACCCAAATTTTTGGTTGCAGTATCAAAGGTTACCACGCATACGGCCACCCAGAACCAGGCGCTGAACTTTTATTGATAGTGTTCAGTCTGACAGGCACTGAGAATGGATAAGATTCAGTGCAGAGTTGTCAGCAAGTTTTTGGTCTTGGAAGGGACTACAACAGATGAGATTTTCTAATGTTTAGTCGAAGCATACCAAGCCTCTGCTCTATCGAAAGAAATTGTTCTTCGCTGAGCAGCTGAGTCCAAGCTGAATAAAAGGTCGAGGGAAGATGGCCATTGGGTGGCCGGCCGCTAGAGTCGGTTTCTGAGAAAAACGTCCAAAGAATTGAGGACCTGGCAAGGGAAGACCGGCACGTACTAATTCTTCCATTTCTCTGTTGGACCTACCATTTCTAATGTTGTTATTTCCTCTACCTCCCTAGCCCTTTCATTTAAATAACTAACTCTCTTCTCAGTTATATGATTCGTAAAGTGAGTGCTGGACGCGAAGATTTTAATGGAAGCAGAGAAAACGACTGCATGAAATTGCTTGCTTGAGGACATCGAAAAATTTTAACTGATATGTTTTCCTTAGACCCAACTGTTGTATTTACTTCAGACTGAACGCAAATTGCTCTTATCCCCGCCAACTACAGAAAATTGTTCCCAAAAAACAACTCCCTTTAACTGTCACTTAATTCAGCTTTAAACTCAAAATTTTGTTTTACTTTTGATATCCATTGATCTCGACTTTTGCTTTGAACATCACCTGTTCAAAGCTTTGAACATAGGAAACTGTCCCCAAGAAATGTGCACTCTCAATCAGTTCTTATTGCGAGCAATGCAAAATTCCCTTTGCGTTTGAACCTCAACGCTCTAACCATAGTGAGTTGTTTTTTCCAAAGCTTCAGTTGGTAAACAAGATTTTCTCACACCCCCTTCAACATTTACCACTTTGTACTCTCAGATCAAGTCATGAAGAAGCAAATTCCGAGAAATATTGTGTTCAGTGAAGAAAGTTGGAAAAGCTTTCAGCGGTTCCGTTAGCAATCAAACGAAATACTCGACACAGCTGAACGGACGAGTGCTCTGTTGAATAGTTCAACTTTTTCGAAACATTTTGTGCTTGGAAATGAAGAATTACTTGGAAAAGAAGTGAGTTAAAAATGATGAGTACATCAACTGTTCGTTTCACTTGAACGAAATGCATAAAGCGCACTTGAACAGCTGTTTATAAATTCGAATGGAATGATGTTAGTTTTGCGAAGATGAACATTTTTCGCGTATGGAACTTATCCCTTTTCATCGATATTTACTTCATTTTGTTTACTTGTACTCCACTGTGCCATATCGATTTTCAAACCGGATTATCGACCGACTGGCGACTAACCGCTAATATTTCCATGTGTTAACAATATACCTTCGTTAGATTCATTTAAATCATTCTATTTCTCAATTGTTTTCGCACAAATATTTTGTTTCTTTTTCATCTGTTTCACCTTCATTCACTTCTTGTTTTGGTTAAAAATAATGACGAAGAGTTTCTGTTTACACTGTTGCACATTGAAGAAATAGATGGTGAATTTTTAAGGATTAATTTCATTTTGCATTTATTTCTCTGCGTTACCATTCGATGATAAGAAATTATTAAATACTGAATATACGTGCAACATGCATATTATAATAAATATATATGATGGATATTTGTGTTGATTAATGAATGATTGGTTCGCAAATTGTTGAATATTCTTTCGTTACGATTATTGGTGATGTCACGAATGAACTGCTGTCAGTGCTGCACTTTACAGCAGTTCCAATTCGAAATCAGTTCAGTGCCATATGATTAAGTGCAATGCTGCTTAGTTGATTGCAATTGTTATTAACATATGTTAAACATTCATATGATCGTACTGAACTGATGGCTCGATTATCCATCTACGTGACTACATGCACCATTAAACTTACATCGTTGTTTAGCGTTC